ATTTTTAAGGTGTGGGGCCCACACGTATCTAATTATCCAAACGTTGGTTCGATTCTCCCGCGAGTTTTAACTGCCGAAATAACAGCATAGCCCCTCAAAGTCTCTCTCTCAATCCCCTTCTCCTTAGCCAATTGGTCTATGAATGGTACAGACCAATTCAAGCATTGTTGAAGGATACATTTTTAAGGTGGTTTTTTTTTTATTTTTATTTTATTTTTATTTTTTTTCCCCAATCAAGAAGATACTCTTTGATGTATACTTAAAAATGGATGAATTTGTACATATTGTTAAGAATAGAATTGGAATATAAATAGTAATCTTTGTTGGTTTCCTTATATGTTTGTAGAATGGGAAGGGTAAAGCTGAAGATACAGAGACTCGAAAGCCTTAGTAGCCGGCAGGTTACTTACGGCAAAAGACGAGCCGGGATCTTGAAAAAAGCCCAAGAGATTTCGGTTTTGTGTGACATTGATATTATCCTCATTATGTTTTCTCCTACCGGCAAACCTTCGATTTTTCGCGGAGAACGAAGGTAATTTAATTTTGATCGATCAAATATACATAGAAGTTTGATGAATTGAACCAACAAAAAAAAAAAAAGAAAGAAAAATAGCTGCATATATTGATTGTGAGAAAATGATTTTTAGGTGAGAAAATGAAGATTTTCAACATAATTCTCATTTCGGTTCATTGTTGGGTCGTTTTGATTCCGTTTTTGGTGAAAGTATCGATTTACGAATATCAATCTAGATAATTTTGTTCCTTCTGTCTTTTTTTTTTGTAAAATTTGTGTAACTTTTTTGCAGCAACATTGATGAAATGATTGCGAAATACGCTCAGCTTACACCAAAAGAACGCGCGAAAAGAAGGTTGGAGAGTCTTGAGGTACGTTTTAAACTAACTATGGTTCGATTAACTATGTTCGAATTCAAAGTTTGTCTTGAAGAAAAACAGAAGATGAAGTTGATGATCGATTTTGTGTAAATGAAAAAAAAATAGACTTTGAAGAGGAACTTCAAGAAGCTCGACCAAGATGTGGATATCGAAGAGTTTCTTGATGCAAGGTATTAGTTACTATACCAGCCTTATTATTTTTCTTCTTTTTATATTTGCTTTGTTTTAATTTGTGTGAATTTTTATCTTCCTGTTTTTTGCAGTTCTCCATCGATTGAGGTACGTCTGGAAAGCCGAGCAAGCATTTAACGTAATTTTAAGCGATCACTTTCTAAGATAATCACGGTTTTTTATTTATTTATTTTATTTTATTTTTTTCATTACGGACAGGAAATGCACAACCGAGTACGAATGCTGAAAAACCAAATCGGCAAAGTACACGAAAGAGTCAAGTATATGGCCATATTCAACTTTTCTCAGTCGATAAACTTAACAATAGTAATAATCCATCATTTGGACAATAACATTATCTTACAAAACGCACGGTTTTCCTTTTTGGTTTTTTCAGCTGGTGGATTAATCCAGACAAAATCGAAGACATCGAGCATCTTAATCAGATGGAAAACTCGCTTAGCGAGACACTTAACAGGACTCGCATGCTTAAGGTACTTTGTTTTTCGGCCCGTATATAGAAAGAAAACTTCAAATTAAATCTAAATTTCATTTTTCATTTCAGCAGGATCGATCTTTGAAGGACTCGCTCGGCCCGTATGACTGCACAAGTCAGGTAGTAACAAATGATCAAACTTAAAATTACAATTTTGTTCGAGTCTTGTTAATTTTCAACGTGCGTGTATTTGTATAGGTGTGTGGAGATTTCGAGACAGTTTACAAGCCGGTAATTAACGAGTTCCAAAACGAACTACATTTTCCATTACCAACAACAAGCAGTGATCGGCATATTATACTCCCGAACGAATCACATTTCTTGCCTAATCAGTGAGTTCGTTCGTTCAATTTTTTTTTTCTTTTTTTTTTTCCGATTATGTTATGGAGTTTTTTGTTTCGTATTTTCTTGATTTTGATACTTCTCGGGTTAAAATGTAACGTCGTGTTTTTCTCCCTTTTTTTATTTGATTTGTTTTGTGTTTCTTGATTTTGGGTCTTCTCGGGTTAAAATGTGACGACGTGTTTTTCCCCTTTTTTTATCTGATTTGTCGTGTTTTATTGATTTTGAGCCTTTTCGGGTTAAAATGTAACGTCGTGTTTCTTCTCCATTTTTTTTCTCCTGAAAAATTCAGAGATGTGGAGTGCTCGAAAGAGGCGCATTTTTCAGCCGGACAAGGATACTTTGAAGAGGTAAAAGAACACGATTTCGCAAGCACACGACAAGAAGGAATTACTGTCGATGATTATACGTGTACGGCTCAGTTAAGACTTCCACTCGGAGAACAATTTACTTACCACTCGTTCGGAAATTTAAGCTTCCCAGACTTGACGGATCCCGTGAAGGAGGAGAATTTCCAGCCGAGTCTTATCGACTATCAGTTGAACGGAAGCTTTGACCTCCCGAGACCGGTTTACAACAACTTCTCGAATAATTTGGTTCCAACCTCTGGTTCTTGCGCGATTTCTATGCTAAACGAGCACGCTTATCCACATGTGAGCTTTCTTTTTCGATTTTATTTTTACACTCGAGAATGGTTTGAATTGTCGATGTGCTTCTTGATTTCTCGCTTTAACGGGTAAAATTATAATTCGAAATCTTCTATCTGCATTCAAGTCTAGGCAATGTTTAGTAAACCTAACTGATAAGCTAGCTTGTAATATTTAAGTGACTTTTGAACTTATAGTTGATAGCTTTGTGACTTATGGATGAAAAACTAGCTTGTATGATAAAAATGTTTGGTAAAATTAGCTTATAAGCTAGCTGCAATAAAATTTTGAATTGACTTATTTGAAAAAGTACTCGAGGAAACTTATGAGATAAACTCGAGTTTTTTAAAAAAACTAATCCTATCAAATAAGTTTATTTGAATACAATAAACTTATAAGTTAACTTATATGTTTACCAAACACAACCTTATTCTATATACGAACAACGCTATACCTATGTTTCTCGACTACAAACAATTCCTTTCATGATTTCATAAAAGAAAACAACGTTTGACATTGTTCGAAAAGTATGTTGGGTCGATCAGACTAACTAACTAACTGTTAGGCTGGCTAACAGCAGACTTTGTGCTCGTTTTTGTAGTTAATATCTCAAATTTTCATTTGATGCTATGCCCTAATGTGCAAATAACCTTTTTTTTTTCCCTTTTTTTTGCAGCCACCAAATTAGTTTATCTAATCAATTTGCTCAAGACGGAAGACGTGGCATTTTAGTTTTTTTGTTTCTCAATTTCCTTTTGCTCACAGTTTTTTATTTATTTTTTATTTTTTTTATTATTTATTTATTTATTTATTTATTTTTGTAAAAGGAGATGAATTTCAAGTGAATTTACTTGTCTGCCCAAGCCATAGTGAGAAAATGAATAGGAAAAATACTTTATGTAAAAAACAAAGGAACAAAATTAGTTTTTTTTTTTCTTTTTTTTTTAAAAAAGAGAGAGAAAAGAAAATCTTTATTGTATTATTTTTGAATTATATCCATTGAAGTTTGTAGCATTGACTTGCATTGGTTATCAAGCACACTTTAGTTGTGTTAAGTATATAGTTTTATTATTATTATTATTATTATTATTATTATTATTATTATTATTATTACAACTTCTCCATAAAACTTATTTCAAACAAATTCATCAACTATTATATTGCCTATTATGTGATTATATTCCATTGATATTTTCGTTTAAAACTATTAAAAGCTAAACTCGAAATCGTTTAGTTAACTTAAAAATGACGAAGAGGGTTTAGCGCAGTGGCGTATACCTCGCTCAGCGTATCCCATATCTTGAGTTCGAGTCACTAGGAGGAGAATTGGGGAATCAATATTAATCCTCCTGTGTGTGTGTAAAAAAAGAAAAAAAAAAACTTAAAAATAAGAATTTTTATTTTATTTTTTTTTATAATACAACTCATTTAACTCGAGTTCACTTCGTTAAGACTCTATCTCCAGTCTCTTTTTTATTGTTATTATTATTGTTATTCAGCTTTTAACTGCAGTAATTAACAAACCCGACTATTATTATTATTTTTGTGGACCGAATATTTAAAAAAAAAATAAAAAAATTTGGAGTTATTCCTCAATTTTTTGTCTGCAGACAAGTGAGTGTACAAATTAAGACATCCTCGTCAGCTCCACGTTATCCCATTAAATTATTGGACCCTCTTGATCCGTTCCAGCTCTAAATCCAATTTTATCCAAACAATTTTATAATATCACAAAAGCTCCATCTATTATTATTATTATTATTATTATTATTATTATTATTATAATTATTATTATTATTATTATTATTATTATCATCAT